TTGCTGGGAGGGCGGGTCGCGTGAACCGACAAGTCTTGTTTCTCGACCGTTTTCTGGACGAACGCCTGGAACTCGACGGGCGCGCCAGGGATGATCCCTCTGTCGATGTAGTTGAGCATGTTGATCGCGCACAGGAGCGCAAAGATGTGCGCGACATTGTTGAGCTTAAACCCCATGTCCGCCAGATCGAAAGTGTGCGGACCAGTCGCGGGAAGAGTCCTTCAATAATCCGGATAACCGATACCTATTGCATATGGCGAAAATCCCACCATTACGACATACCCACGACCCGATGTCCACACGACCGACTGGGCGGGCCTTGTTGCGGTGGGGCTAGACATGGTGGAAGAGATGTCTAACGAAAGGTTGTCTGTCAATACACAACAGGCAGCTGCGCGGTCGAAGCTCCACGCCGTCGATCAAGTTCAAGCAGGTTGGCTCTGGGCCATGAGGCAGGCCCACGTCGAATATCGCCCCGTCGAATCCCAACGCGCTCCCTTCCACGTCGTTCCAAAGAGACGCACCGAAATATCGCACTATATCGCGCGACGACGGAAATATAGTTTTCCCATTGAACGTGAAGCAAGTTCAAACATACGTTCTGATTGCATGGGTCGAATGGTTTTGGTCAGATTATTGCGTCGGCGAATTAGATGGGACAACTCGTGGTGTGACATTTTTTAAAGTGAATGTACCGAAACACCCGTGGTTGTAGGGGGGATGTGTTGGGGGCAATGTTTACGGAACACTCGGTGCATATGGGCGGCGGCGGCACAGAAATACATCGCCGTGAATCGCTCTAGTTCAACTTCCTATCTCCTTGGATGGCATCGGGGTGTGCGACAGCCGAGAGGTCACAACAGCGGGAGAGGAGGCGCATTGGCACTCGACGCCGTTTTATCCAAGGAGTAAAGTGAACCTAGCTGGAACAGAGCGGAAGCGTACGAGACCACCCGCGCTTGGGTGACGTAACAAGATCCACGGACGCCTCAATCCGGCTGGTACATTAAAGATCCTGGCTGGAGCACTGGGACAGATACTGCGCCGTCACGACGGCAAGGGCTTCGGCTGCCAGCGTCCCTAATTCGAGTTCATAAATATTCATGGCTTGATTGAACAGATCGTTGGCGTCGTCGGGGTAGCCCAGTCCTCGCAGAAACCCTGCTTTGACCACTAACCACTTGGCCACAACCAGTATGGATTCCCCTGGGGTCGCAGCTCGTTCGTCCAAGCATCGTAGCATCCAACGACTCATGTGGTCCAACACAAACATCTGCACGGCTCGAAAACCTTCGATACCCCCAATGCGCTCTAGCACGCCCACCTGGTCTTCTTCACGAAAGGACGAGGGTAACGTATCCGCAGGCGACTGCAGCATGGACAGGATGGGACGGGGGTTGGTTTCGAGAGCGCTGAGGAAATCGAGCTTTTGGTCGTCGGTGCTTGCGATCTGAAAGGAGTTTGGATGGTGCGTCATGGCCACAAATGCGTCGAAAAGGCACCAAGATGAATGCAATGCGAAAGGAGTCCGCCATGGAAACATGACAAACACAACATTGCGGATGCTGCGAACGTTGAGTTCGTTTTGGGAGGCAAACCAGTCGAACGTTCTTAACTCGATCTCTTGGTCGTGGTGGTTGACGTGAGAGAGGCCGCTCCACACTGCTACGTCGTCCCTCGGATGGAAAAAGTGTAGCAGTGTGTCGAATGAGTCGAGGAAGTTGCTGCTCCAGTCGTCTGTGATGAACCATTGAGCGGGTTGAACGCAGCTAGACAGTTCTTCGTCGTCACACTCCAAGACAAAGTCGACCAACGACAACTTATGCGGGTCCGTCATGGGCTTGACGAACTGGTAGCACACGTCAAGGACGCTCATACCATGAAACGCGCGACGGCCGCCATTCCTAAGGATGAAGTGCTGCATATAGCCGATCGTAAGCCCCATCGGCCGGCCATCATCCATCGCTTGACTGTCGCACGCTCCTTGTTGGTAAAGATACGCAGTGGGCACTTGATCCTGTGTGAAACCCCAGGAATTTCGACAAAAATTGGGATATATTTTCCCAAAATCAGCGAAATATTCGATGCTTTTTGCAACGCCTTACCAAGGGTGCATCGGCAACCTCGACATCCCGACATGTGCCATTGTCAGGTTACCTGTAGCCACAATACCTGCACATGACCAAAACAACACCACAACCTTCCTCCGTAATGGCATTGGTCATCTCCATCTTTGCACGTGGTGTCGGATCTCCTCACTATCATGGGCTGCGACGGCTTTTTTCATCCTGTAGTCGCATCCACCAAAGAAATGCATAGGCTCGACGATTCACTGCAGCCAACGACATGGTGCAATGATCCTGTATTCGGGACACTGAGGTGGCCTACGTGACCAGCTCGACGATTGCTGCTTTGACGGCATCGGAATTCTTGTTGTCTGCATCGAGGGACCGTAAAACGAACCCAATCATTATCCGGATGCTCGACGCCAGATCACCTGCTTCTGTCATTTTCGGGCTTGGGCGAGGCATATTCTATGACTGGAAATTTGTATGCAATATTTATGAAGCTTGAAATGTCCACTAATGACGAAGTAGACTCGAGCATCCCAACCCTCTGCGCCGCAGATACAATGAACATGGCGGACGACTTGCCGCCCGGATGGGTACGTCTCGCATGCAGCGCTGCGCAATTCACACGGTACGGGGCATGTGTGTGTTTAGGAGAAGCGCGAATCCAAGTCCCAGCCAGGGAGGTACTACTATGTGTCGCCTGCTGGCCAGACGCAATGGTTTCCGCCGCGGCGGTCGAATACGGCTCGATCTTTCAACTGGCGGTGCGAAATCGAGATAGAGTTTGGACCGGGGCGCCTAGGAGTGAACTTGAAGGAAGTTGCGCAGACAACGAACATCCCATTTCCCATGTTCCAAGCTGAAGTCGAGGAACTGCCAAAGCTACCTGGTGGCAAGCCCGGCCCTGCAGAAATTTACAATTGGAGCGTGCGGCCGGAACGACGTCTTTATCCGAACATGCGACTCACGCAAGTGGATGGCGTGGCGCTGGCAGGGTGCAAGTACACGGAAGTCGTCGACAAGCTCAAGAAGGCCGCTCGTCCCGTCAAGCTCAAGGTTCACAATTTCGCTTCCTCAACACTCCTCACGTGTCCTTTCTTAGTTTGCAGACGTCTCGCAAGGTCTGCTTGGTGAAGGGGAGACGTCGGCATTGGATTCAGCGCCCACATCGTCCGTAAACCCCACGATTGCATCGACTTCAGCATTGGCCTCGGCAGGGTCTCAGTCAATGGGTGCGTTGACCTCGGCACCGCCGTCCGCATACAGCGTTCAAAAGCAAAAGAAGGAAGAGTACATGAATTTGCTCGTCACGAGCGAGCTCAGCAACGAAATGTGGCGCCTCGAAACGCAGAAAGTCCAGTCAACATTCAAGCAGCTCACGCTCAAGTGGAACTTGCTGTCGGGGTCGCTGAGTGGGTTGTTGGAGGCGCAGGTGAAGGCGAAGAAAGAAATCGAAGCAGCAACGGCGGAAAAGGCCAAATACGACGAAATGTTGATCCAGCTGCAGAAGCAAGAGAGTGGCGCGATCGTGTCACCGGAGGTGCAGCGTATGAACGACCTCAGCGGAAAGAATGCCGAGCTGACTCAGGACATTGGCCACATGAGTGCTGGAAACAAGAAGCTGCGACGAGAGCGCGATGCAAACCAGAGGCTCCTCGACGAATTGGAGGCGCAACTCGTGCACGGCCTCACGCAGCAACCGGTGCTGCACGAGTGTTTGGTTGGGCTGGTCGACGAAACCATGACGTCCAAAGCTAAGATCGCCGTGATCCGCCAAAAGGTGGCGGCCATGGAACTGGAAATGCAGAAGGAAGAGGCCAAGACTCGACAGGCGGAGATGGAGCTGGCCCAGCTCAGCAAGGTTTACAACCAGCAGACAGAAGTGATCCTCGAGTCGTCTCGAGGAGGCATGGTAGTACCTCCAGGTACGACCCCCCCTCGCCCGTGTCTTCACGTTCATGACCGCGGAAGCAGAGCCTCGCCGTTCACCTCTCCCAGCACGACCTCCTCCTGCAGAAGGTTCCTTCAATCTCGTTCCTGCATCGTTCCCATTGCCCATTTCCGTAGAAAAACCTCCCACGACTTCTCCACCGCCGCCGACGTACAATGCCACGCCATCTTCGTCGTCTTCGTCCATGTTTATGGGGTACGACGGCGAATTTGTGCAATCCCGAATCATTCGTGGGGGCGTTCCTTTCTCTGAACGTCGCGGTCGAACATAGGTCCTCTCGTGGCGGCCTCTTCAATCGATCCAACTCGACCGACTTGTACGTTTGTCGACGTGAAATTCCGCGATGACTGCAGGGTGACTTTGGTAGCCTTGCGACGCCGCCGCCCCACGTCATTCGCCAGGGACACTTGGAGAAGTTCCCCACGCACTTCAACCAGGACGGAGGAGGTGCCACGATGGTGTTGATGGAAAACGCTGACGTTGGATGTAGGGATGCTCAAATCGATGCGACTCATGCGAGGAGCACGTGAACGTTGGTGTCAACTCCATGCAAGCGGGACGTTGGTGTATTACAAAAAGCGCGGAGACCCCGTGCCACGCGGCGAAATTGCATTGACCGACCCGACGTTGGAAGTCGTCTGCGAAGCGCTCCTGTACGAGTGGATCCGTTTTCTTCACAGTCCTGATGGAACGTCGGTTAGCAATGGATCTTCAAAGAAGCCCCCGAAGGAGCTTGTGTTCACGGTGAGCACGACCCATGCCCAGAACCGATTCCAAGCGCACACGATGGAGGAACTACGAGATTGGGTCACTGCCATCCTGACTTTCCACAGCGGATGGATGAGCACCAGGGTACGTATCGCTGCGACCGTCGCCTTCATATCGAGGCATCTCAATTGACGTCATGAACAGGTCTCGATTGGAAGCGACGGCGCGAACGTTGAGGTCGCGCCCAAGGTCCCCGACGAATCTTATTTGCGTCGAGCTGTTGAATTTTAATTTAACGATGACGTGTGGAGTAAAATATAAAAACGCGCTACTGTTAAACACAATAGACGCCACAGAAATGTGGTCATGTCATTGACTAATTAGGAAGTTGTATTTGGGCGTTCTATACAGTAAATTGGTCTAAACTCGTTGCAGGAGGTAAAACGCTTAAACCGCCCTTTCCACATGCACTGAGGCGCAAACCGTTATCAGAGTCGAAGCGCTTGCCATGGCCGATCACAGCGGCGGGCAGAGGAAAGACGGCGGCGCGTTTGTGGAGAGAGATGCGTCGTTGTCGAAGGTCGACTCTGTAAGGAAGAGCACTGCGAAGAGACGCATGTCCGTCGAAGCCCGCATCTCGGAGAACAAGATCATAACCATTGGCGACTATCACACTCCACTTCCCGAAGGCTGGTCCTACCGCGAGTCCACAAAGCACAAGGGCAAATGGTACTACATCTCTCCCTCTGGACAGGCGCAGTGGATCCCGCCGCTCGTCAAGACAGGTACTGTCCTCGTCCTGCATTGCTCATTTTCTCATGGACGCCGTCAGGCAAACTGTATGAATGGAAGTTGCACCTGTACATCGAGTTTGGCGCGGGAAAGCTTGGCATGAATCTCAAGGCTGTCGATGCCCTTCCCGACACGTTGTGGACGCAATTTCAGGTCGAAATTCACACGCTGCGGAAACTCGGGAATGGCCATGCGTCGCCTGCAGAATTGTACAACTGGAGCGTCAAGCCCGATCGGTGTGTCCACTGTGCTCGTCTGTCCATTTTCCCTCATTGCATTTCACTGGTAGACGCATCTACGCTGGGTTTCGCATCGTTGAGATCGCAGGATCGTCCGTGGCAGGCTTTACGTACTCGGAAGTGATCGACAAGATCAACCGCACGCCGCGTCCGATGGTCATTGGGTTCTGCGACTGCCACCGTGGCCTCGTCGGAGACCCGGAGGAAGTGGATGAAGTCGAAGAGGAAGACGCGAGGAAGTCTGTGTACCAGCAGCGGTTCAACACGATCCAGTCGGAGCACATGAAGACGATGGTGCTGACCGAGTTGGACAAAGAGCTATGGCACGTCGACCTGAAGCGGTTGGGGGGACTCGACATCGAGTTTCGCGCAAAAGGGAAGCGGCTGCGGCGGGAAATCGCCAAAATCGAAGCGTTGAACGATCAGCTCAAGCAACTTGTTAAGCAACAAGTGGCCGAGAAGGCGCGGTGTCAGGCTTTGCTGGACAACGTTGAGGCCCAGCAGGTGCAGCGGAGGCCCCGCATCCCCCAAAGGTTGAAAGTTGTTGTAGGCGCAAATGTCGACTCAGATCGAAGTACGAGGCCACGAGCTGGCCAAAAAGCACCAAGGTAGACCTCCTCATACGTCGAGTTGGTGGTTCACGCTGAGTTTACAGCACTGCTCAAGTCGATTGACGAGACTACTGCTGATAACCATCGGTTGGTGGAGCAGCATGCGCGGGATACAGCGACATTGGAGTCGCTGTACGAGAAGCTGGACCGGGACGAGTCGAACAACGTGCTGCTGATGACCAAGACGCAATTGTACGAGGAGTATGGCATCAAGCGCAGCCCGTTCACTCTAGAGGACCTGCATCTTCTCTTCTTCACGCTGGAAGAAGCCGCTATTGTCGAGGAACAGGAAGTCCAGCGGGGCATGGCGGAAGTGGCCCAGCTCAAGAAACACCTGGACGCCATGGAGACGGGTGCGCCCATCCCGCGGACGAACGACAGCAGCACGCGCGATCTAGAGATGAAACTCGACTGGTTGCGAGATCAACTGGTTTGTAGTGTCGGCTTCCAAGTGCATCGTGTGTATAACCATTTATGCATTAGCAAAAGACGGCGCAGATCATCGCGAAAGCCGAAAAGAAGGGAAAAACCAAGGCTGTCAAAGGGGGATATCGCCGTCGAAATCTGCTCAAGATCGAGTACCAGTTGGTTCAAGATGAATTGCAGGCAAAAGTCGCGCAAATGGGACCGCAGCCGACATGCCCAGAGGAGCCGTCGCTGCTCGAGGAGCGGACCGAATTCATTCGCCAAGCTCTCGTAAGCACGGCGACTAGATGCCTTACCTGAACCCCGTCTGTAGCGGGACGTCGTGCAAAAAATCGCCAAATGTCCCAAGGACCAACAGCAGATTTTCTTGGACCGCCGAGCATATCTCAAGAAAGAACTGGAACATGTGCAGAATCGAAGTTTGGAGCTTGGTTTGCCGCTCAACACGATTCGAAGAAGCTCTTTGGGAGAGGCACCGCCTCGATTGAGCGATCAGCGACCCAGTGCGTTTGAAGTTCGGCCGTCAGCCTTCGACGATGACGACGAATCCCTTCCATCAACGCCAGTTTACTATCCCGAGAGCCTGAGTCCCAACTTGGACGAGCCCCTCACTCCCCCCATGCGAACCCAGACACCGCTTACAGTGGACCAGCTGCCGACTCTGGAAGATTTGGCCCCGCCACTGACCCCTCCGCTGAACGATGGGTCGATCACGCCGCCGTTGGAGCTGGAACCCGCCGTCGAAGTCAGTTGGACGACCTCCACCGGCCCTTCCATTCCTCCACAGGTCACTCAGCTCGAGCCCGAACCTGCACATGTTGTGGACCTCGATCCAGTTGTCCCCGTGTCGACATTTCCTGTCCCCGAACCCACGACAAAACCAGTGGAAGTGGTTGCAAAGCCAGTTGTAGAGCAGCCGCCACGAGTACCAGCACCCAAGCAAAGTGGCCCGCTCACTCCACACGAGTTCAAATCCCAACTGACTTCTGCGCTGACTGCGCTATCCAAACAGCAACAAAAACAAGTGCCTGTGGAAGTCCAGCCCGATGTGGAGTCTGCACGGCCGTCCTCCGTCTACAGCCTCAATGACTCTGAAATCGGCGACACGATCAGTGTTTGCTCGGAAGAGTCATTCACGGACCAGCAATTGCAGCCGTCCAAAGTCGATCAGCTCAAAGCCGACTTGGTAAGCAGCATCGAAACCGCACAGCCCGATTGTAAACTAAAATGTAGAGAAATGTCGTGGCCCAAATCTCACAAGCGTCAAAGGATAAAAACTCGTCGCTGGCCACGAAGCTGATGAAGGTGCGCAACCAGATCAAGTCCGAGTTGGCCCTTGCGCAAGATGAGCTGCAAATCGACTCTCTCAAGCACGAACTGGTACAGTTTTGGAAGGTTTCCAGCGAATACCTGATGGTATGAATGTGTCTGTGCAGCGGGAAGTGGTGGTTCAAGTGGCCCATGCGACCAAGCTCAATGACAAGGCTGCTGTCGACCATTGGATGCAGCGCCGTCAAGAACTCAAGGCGCAGCTGAAAGCCGCCCATGACTCCCTTGACAAGACCACTCGTGAAGCCAAACCTCTCGACGAACTCAAGAACGAATTGGTACGTTGCTGGTCGCATCACGTCGCGTGCTCATTCTAGGTGTAGCGCGCAGTGGTGAAAGATCTGCAGCGACCGCACTTGACCAAGGAAGAAATCGAAATGTTCACGGCGCAAAAGGCTGAGCTGAAGACGCTCATCATGGCAAAACAACCCAAGTTCGTCCCACACACAAATGACGTCGAGTCGCTCAAGCACGAACTGCGCAAAGTTGTCGCCAACATCGCGCTGGCCTCGAAAGAGAACGACAACACCCTCGTGGACAAGCTGATGAAGAGGCGGGCGGACCTCAAGGCTGCGTTGGCCAAGGCCCAGACCATGGAACAAAAGCGCAACTCGTCTGATCGAAGCGGCAGTCGGGGGTCCGTCGGGCGTTCCAGCGGATCGACGCCGCAGCACTCGATTTCGACGTCTGTGACTGACCCTGCCGGCTCCTTTGTCAAGAGACTGCAGGCGAAGACAAGTTCGTCCAGCGCCGATACTTCAAAACAACACCAATCCTTTGCCGGGTACTCCTCGGCTCCAGCTGCGAAGCCAGCCCCGCAGGCCCATTCGTTTGCGGGTCAATCCCCTCCGTCAACGTCGACACCCAAGCACGATGCTTCGTCGGGCAAGGCACGTCTCCCGCCGTCGCCCATTCTTCCTGCAGAGCCACGACCGCAGATCGTCGAATCATTTCACAGCAACGCGGGATCGTCTTCGTCCGGGTCGTTGTCTGGGAATTCGTTGCACGATTCGTCTGAGAGCACAACATTCGTGATGTCGGAGACCAAGGTGGCGCAGAATGCCTTGCAAGCGTACAAGGCTGAGCTGGTACGTTGATCGGATCGCTGCAATCGAACGCTCATGCAATGTAGGCGAGCATCCAACACGCCATGGACAAAACCAGCAGCGAGCGCATGATGAAGAAATTGGTCGAGCAACGAGCGGATATCAAGGCGCGAATAGCTGAAACAGAGGAGCAACTGAATCCCATGCCCCAGCCATTGCCGCCGCTGCCGATGTTGCAGCCCGAGTGGGACCTGGCCCAAGTCAAGAAGCACACACAGAGCCTTCAACGCGAGCTGGTAAGTGGAATGGCGGGGGATGGGGTTTGATGGCTTGGCTGTCTAGCGAGACATTGTCGCGCGGTTCCCTTCTGAGAATGCCGACAACCCGAAACCCCGAGTCCCCGAGACCGCCGTGACTCGTCAATACAAAACGCGTCGGACCGAGCTCAAGGTCGCGATCCAAGCGGCATTCGATCGCATTGCGCAGTTGCAGGAAGAAGCCACCATTCGAGACATTCAAATCCCGGTCTTGACCCCACACATGGACAAGGACGCTTTGATGAATCACGTCGACATTCTCAAGAAAGAGCTCGTAGGATGCCCCTCGTTCTTGCCACCATCATGTGACTGGAACGACCTGTAGCGCCAAGTTGTCACCACGATTGCCCAAACTACCGCGGCAGGAGCAAAGGCCAAGCTCAAGTCCCAGCGGAGTACCCTGAAATACCACTTGGCGATGGCGCAAGACCAGCTCGCGGCCGCGTTGAAGGCACCCCCTCCGCCTCCTGCACCCTCGTCGTCGCATGCGTCGTTAACCCGAGCGAAGTCGACGGTGCAGGATGACATCAAGATGCTCGAGTCGTACATCGATACGCTCAAAGTAGACTTGAAGCACGTTGTGGGGCAGATCACCCAGACGCACGACATGCCGACGATCAACGCGATGCATTTGCGTCGACGCAACGACCTCAAGAAGAACCTCCGCACGGCACAAGACCAATTGCTCGCACTGCAAGCCCAGGTCGAGAATCGGTCACGATCGAGCACGCGGTCCAGCGAGAAGGGCAGTAGCAATCTGTCGATGCACTCGGCCGAAGACGACGGACCGAGCTTGCAACTCGATGCGTTCATGACGACTCGTATGACCCAAGTATACCAGAACGTCACCGAGAAGGCTGGGTACCTCGAGTGGATGCCGCAGACGCTCAAGCTGTTCCGCGGCGGCAAGGTCATGTGGGTCAAGCTCGAGACAAGTGGGTGTCTGGTGTGGTACAAGAACCCAAGCGATACCAAGGTCCGAGGCATGGTGGATCTCGCGCCAACCACGTCGCGCAGTGTCAAGGTCGCGTATGGCGATCCCAACATTGTGAGCATCTCAATCTTGAGTCCCGGTATGCTGAGCAACCACGAAGAGCTCATGCAGTTCCGCGCGACGTCCGAAGACGAAGCGCGGGGTTGGGTCTACCTCCTCCAAGACACCGTCGACCTCCTCGCGCGGCAGTTTCCGCAACAAAACGGCGACGAACTCTTTGGCCGCAACTCGATCGTGTACTAACTTAACAAGTTGCGAGTGCAAGTCTCATGGGCATGACTATAAGCAGCGGTCGGTCACGTCCGGGCCACTCGCCCGGGATGGGCAGCCGACAAGTCGAAGACGAACGGCGGCATCGTGCAACGGCTTCCGCTTCCTCTTTTCGGACCGCGGGGTGTTGTGCATGGCTTGCAAATGCTTTTTCAGAACGTGCTTGTAATGGAACGACCGATCGCAGAGGTCGCAGGAAAACATTGGCGCAGCAGGTCCGGTCTGGTGAATGACCCGGATGTGTTTGTTCAGGTTTGGCTTGGTCGAGTACACATTCCCGCAGTCGGGGCACGGGTATTCCTCCCTCTGCCGGTGCACTGCTTGAATGTGGCCGTGAAGCGTCTTCTTCGACGCGAAAAACTGGCGGCAAAAGGTGCATTCAACCGGTGGGGCCACCGCTGCCTCCATCGGCATAGGAGACGCGTCGGGGTTCCACACAACAGACACGACTGCCGTGTGGAGCCGGAGGTTGTGTGCATCGAGCTGGTGTTTCTTTAAAAAGGCCGCGTCGCATTGTGCGCATGGGAACGGAGGCTTCCCTGTGTGAACGTACGAGTGCTGCTGCAGTTGAGACTTCTTCTTGAACGTCTGGAGGCACGTGGGACACACGTAAGGCCGAGAAGCGTTGGTCGTATCGTGCTTCTCCTTGATGTGCCGCGTGAGACCATGCTTGTATTTGAACTCTTGGTGGCACAGTGTGCACGAAAACGGCGACGCCTTGTGGTCGCACGCATCGTGGTCCATTTTGACGTGTCGTGTCACATGGTCCTTCCGCGTGTACATCCTCTCACACCCTTCCACGGAGCACATGAATGACTTGCGCTGATGACTTAACGCATGCTGACGAAGATGTGACGGTTTGGTGAAGACGCTGCCGCACTCGATGCACATGTGGACCTTGGCCATGCTTGATTTGTCCAGGAACGTCAGCGCGTGGTATTCGTCGTTGTCGTCTTCCTCCAGCACCATCTCGTGGGATTCGTTCTTCTTGGAGCGCTTGAGGCATGACCCTCTCTCCTCTTCGTCCGACCACTCTTCTTCATCGACGTCCGAGTCATCCGCCATGACCCAGCGTATCGACCAGGCTCGCGCCACCCGGGTTTCCGACAGTTTTTTTGCGAAAACGTTGTTCGAATTTTCATGGATTTTTTCAACTATTGAGGAATTTTCAGGGAATTTTTGCACCGCTGTCGAGGAAAATAGCGTGTGTCATGGCATTTTTCCAATACTTATTTGGTTTCGATGTGCGACATTTTTAATTGACAGTTTGGCCATGTCAAACTCGAAACTTCTTGACGATCAAGCGGTGCACAGAGCCGGGAGGCCCAAGATTGTGAACGACGAGGGCCGTTGGTTGTTAAATATCATCGACGCCGTGTATTTACTTGGTTGGATCAGTGCGCTGTCGCTTGGCTAAACGAAAGTTGTGTACAGCTTGCAGCCTCGGCAAGATCGTGGTCGGGTCCATGTACTCGTCCTTGGAGTGCGCGAGTCGGAGCAGTATCGTTTCGAGTTTCTTCACGAGTGATGGCAGTTGGACTCGTTTTTGGACGGGGGTGTTCGGCTTCAATGCAATGAGCACTGCCATGAGCTTTTTCTGCACAGACTCTCGATCCCCGGGCTGGATGTTGTCTATCAGCTTGGCGTCTGGGTCTTCGTCGTGGATCTTGGTGGTGCCGAGGATGGATGCAAGGTCATTTATTCTTCCAGTAGGGAATCCCATTTCTGTGTAATGGCGCTTCCGTGGCGGCGCCAGGGGTGGCAGTCTCGCCATCAATTAGAAAGTGTCGTCCAGGTGACAGTGAACGTTAACAATGGTATATTCATTTTGACAGGATTTTTTGTTTTTTCGCCGCATGACGCGCCACGACAGTGGACGTTGTCGTTAAAGTCCCGACATTGAACAACTATTTGTTCCACCAATTTTTCGTATCCACTTCGATCTCCAGCCTCGAAACAATTCATTAAATATGTGCACAATATCAAGTTGCGTAGTATTTACAAACTTCAAGTTAAATATATTTTGAAAAAATTATTCGACGAAACTCGATTCGATAGAATACCCTGTAGAAAAATCTACCATATTGTGTCATGTGAAGAATGTAGTACACCAATAAATTTGCAATTTATTGAAAATCCTCCCATGAATGTACTCGTTTACGCAATTTGGAAAGAGAAGCAACGAACGGGCCATGGCGCAGCATCATGCATGCTCTTGCTCGAGCGCCGATGGCTCATCGATGTTCTCCTTGTCTTCACTTGTGCCTGACGACTGCCCCCGGCGCTGTGCGTAGGATAAGCTAAACGTCCGTCGTGTATTCTCGAGAGACACTGGTGTTGTCAACGGTGCCTTGCTCGACCGAGAAAACGTGGACCGAAGGAGAAGATCAAGTTGCTGGAGGCGCTTGAGCAGTGTCGAGGCAAGTAGGTCGAGGTGTTGCTCCTCCACGGCCAAGTGAACAACTCCCCGCTGCAGTTCCTGCAGGATGGATGGGGCACTCGGGTTGACGTAGTTGGCTTCGGTGATGTCGTCGACGAGGCTGGCGTCGGACTTTTCCCATGGACTGAACGAATGCTTCCGAATGGCCGACTGGCGGTCTTCAAGCATGCGCTTGAGCGCCACTTTCGCCGTGTGGAACGCGACCTTCATGTTCGTACGAAGAGGTTTCTTATGCCCCTTGAGGGATGTCGTCCATGCCTTCGCAGCGGCGCGCTTGGGAGGTTCGCGCGGACAAATGTTGAATCCCAGGCGAAACAGAGGAGCAAGGAGGAACTATGGTAAGGTGGATGACGGCCATGAGTTGGTACAATCGAACATACAAGTAAGACGAGCGGCATGAGGACGTTGAAGCCGAAGAAGAGGAGGTAGCCATGCCAAGTGGGGAGCGACGGACTCGCAAGTCCGTGGGTGCTTAACGCATGAATCGCCGCGGTGAAATGGTCCAGGAAGGTCCAGGGAGCGCTCCATGGCGTCGACAGCATCATGTAGTGCGCCACACCCACGAGTACAAGAACAATCAAGAGGCTGTAGCCGACAATATATCCCGTGGTGGCCTGCATGTGGAGGTCAAGGGCGGTCGCTGCTGGAGTTGTTACCTCAAGGACGCAAAGGAGGTAACGGAGGTTGTGGAAGGACCAATATCGCGTCCAGTTGAGCCACATGACAAGCGATACAATTGCAAAGAGGACGCGGTCTTGCTGGGCGAGAGCGGTCACATCTACACGCCCCACGATGAGCGAGCGACGTGGGGAGAGGCAGAGGGACCTCGAAGGGACACGTAGGAAGGACCGGCGAGCTGCAGCATGAGTGCGTACGACGCGGTCGAGACAAATTGGAGTCGTGTGCACCAAATGGCAAGCCACAACACGACAATCGCGCAGTCCACGACGTGCGCCCCAATCAACAAGTAGTACTGGCGGTACCTAGACCAAATCAATGATAAGACCTGTTTTGATTCACGACGACGCGACGGATGTACCGGTGCAGTTTGCCCCCGGCCCGCCACGCGGTGTACAGCGAAAACCCAAGGAGGCCCATGTCCACGTAAAACAAACCGGACGTAAAGAACACGCCACGGTACACATTAAAGTAGGCCGGTGTCGCGCGGAGATGGGCTTGAACAGCAGCGCCGACTGGAAAATCCAGGGACAGCGTCATCGCGACGTGGACATCGAGGGCTGCATTGTACACGTTCCAGTCCACCACCACAGTTCTCGTGTACACATCGAGCCACTGTCGCTCTTGTAGACGCGAGAGAACGCACGTTGGGTCGTTGCAATTGGGAGCGAGGACAGCATCGGTTGGCAGGGACGCAGGGTACCCGCGGTCTGGCGTCCACTGGCCAAACGCATGGGTGGAAGAGTCTTCGGACAGGTCGACGCCTGCACGTGGATCGCCATGAGTCGAGTCAGTCGGGCGCGCACGTACTGTTGAGTCGGCGTTGGTGCAATTGCACCGACCCGAGGAGGACGTTGGATGCGTGCAGCATGGTGGGAGTGGCCATGGAATCCGCCGGCACGGATGGAAACAGCGCATGGATGAACGGCGTTTGCAAGTACGACCAGACTGCGTTGATGTCGGAAAATGTGGGCGGAAGGCGCATGGATTGGGTCAGCGCTTGCGTTTCGTGGTGCGTTTGGTGGTCGTACGGCGAAAGCGCGGCAGCGATCGCAGTGAGGACGACGAACAGCGTGTACATGATGCAGTCGCCTTTGGTCAGTCGCTCTTGCATCGCGTACGCGTGGCCGTCTTGGATGGCGCACGTTTGAAACGCGAGCACTCGTTTTTTGATCTCGAGTCTTGTGTGAGTGTACTGCGGACCTTTGGCGACGTTAGCGCGATCGCCGCATCGACATACCTTTGTACAGCGACAGGGCGAGGTAGGCCAGCTCAAGCACGTGATTTTGGTTGATGACAGGGAAGAAGTCGGACACGGTTGCGATGCTCTCAAGTAGATGGAACCCTTCCAACGCAATTTCCTCGACTTCGACGTGCTTGGCGATCGCCCGTGCAATGATGTGGACACCGCGCTGCGCGAAGACGCTTCCGATAAGTTGGACGTGGTACGGGTCGGTCGTCAACGCGTTGAGGAGGGCGATGGCATACCACGCGGCCTGCTGGTCGTCTTTGTGCATTTTGAGGCACTGGAGAGCGGTTGGGATGCCGTTCAAGTCGACGAACGCATGCGCCATGTCCTCTGCATCCCACGTGAGTGCATGCATATTGGAGACAGCGACGTACTGAGCACAACAAAGTGGCTGAGGGGGTACAGCACTGCCCGAGACACTTCCATGTTGGCCTTGTATCGGCGAAGCAAGGCCAAGAGTTCCTCGATGAGGCGGCGGGATGCAATGTGGAGGCGGATGTCATCTAGTTTCACGTGAGCCGCCATTGCCGAGTTTGGGACGGCAAAGGAACGCACCGTTGAGAATGAGGCTGCCCAAGGCTTCGTGTGCCATGCAGATGAGGTCGGGCTTGTCGTAGTGGTTCCGCACGCAGTTCATGACGAGCTCAACACCGTCGTCGATGGCACAGAAAGTTAACGCGCGCTCCACTACGATCGACTGTGATATCGACAGCAAGCATTCACATGCCCCTCGTACCATCCAACTTGGCGTAGATGGATATGGTGTCCAAGATGGGGCACAGGACTTCTTTCTGATGGGGGAATTTCTTGAGCGCGAACAAAGCGAGAACGAGGCCGTCGCTGTCGTAGAACCCGTCGGCAGGACTCACCTAACATCAACTAAGCGACGGCATCTTATCGCAACAGAGCCACCGAACCGCAAAGACGGTCTCGCCGCAGGAAAAGTAAAAGTGGCCGACACTGGCTAACGTCTTGAAGGCCGATTGCACCGCCCAGATCGTGTCGATCTCTGCCTTGATGGTACGGCAGATTTCGCCGACACCGTTTTGCTGGAGCACATGGACAAGTTGTAGCTCGACTGGAACGTTGCGTGAGATCATTATGCATGGCTCGAGGCTAACCACACCAACCTTCCTCGAGGTCATCATGCAGGGTGTTTCCAGGTGTCTTTGCATCCGCCTCAGAAGGAAGTTCATCGTCGGGAAGAAGAGGTGCATTGGTCACTCCGCCCGTCGTGGTCTTCCGCCCGCCGACGCGGTCATGCACTGCTTTGCTCAGGCGCTTCATCGGTTACACACGTCCCGATCGACAGTTTGTTCCGGTCGTCCAAGACGATCCTCGAGGAGTTACAGATCCACTACCGCCCGATCGTTACGCGCGCCTGCCACAGTTCCCAACCAGCCCATCCATCCAGCATGCGCCACCACCACGAGCCATCAGGTTGAGAAGGTCCCCATCCCTTCCCGTTCTCACGTGCATCTCATCCCACTTGCTTGGACTCAGGAATTTAAATTCGAATCAAATAAATCGAATCACGATTTCGATGACGTCGTCCTTTTCCATGCGAAAATATTCAGCGCGAGCATTTTTATGGGTACCCCGACGCGAAAGTCCCGACATTTTTTCAATGGGTACCAGCTTCACTTATTCTGGTTATGGAGCGGGATCGGCTGTGTAAAAAACTTGGATATTTGTTTTGGCCCCCCCCCCTGGTTTATTGAACATTGGCGTGAAAATATTTATATTGCCAGCTGGGTTGCATTGTACGCACGTTGCTTGTAGCGGTATACAAACTAGCATATATTTAAAACCTCCGGAGGGTGACTTTTTAAAATTTCCGAATTGTACAGTAAAAACGTCCCTCTGCTGCGGTCACTTTGCGAACTCTGCCGCCGTCGTGTCATGGGGAACTGCTCCGGACGAGATGTAGAGGCAGTGGAAGCAAGGGCGGTCGGCGCGCGCGGTCCGGACGTGCGAACGGTACGAACGTGGACTAAAACCACAACGATCATCGCCATGTCATGTGTAGATTCGACCTGTCGGCACGGTGAACACTCCGCAACGCTCGCAACGGAGGCGGTCGAAGTTGACCGCTTCCTTCACCGAGTCGCTCCAACGACAGAAACACAAACCTGCCCTTGAAAGAAGCAACAGCATGCGGCAGAAAACCCATCGCTTTTCTCTCAACTTCATGCCACGCCAAGAGTCGGACATTCCGATCGCCGAAGACGAGCTCGCTCCACGACATTCCCTGGACCGAAAGAAGGTTCCACGGACACCAGACACTGAGTACTACCGCAGCGACACCGATGAAGTATGGATCGTTGGTCTCCTCACGTCCTTGTTCTCATGCAATTGCGCTTAGATCAGCATCGACATTGACTTGATCCTCGGGAACGACGTCGACTCGCCCGGAGTGATCCACGCGCGATGGGGAGAACCAGCGGTGGACCCCGACGAAGAGGAAGTGTGTATGGACTACCAAGCGAACCCGTTCAAGGTGGGGTTCTGCATTAACTGCCAAAAGCAGCACGAGTTTACGGCAACGGGCGAAGTCAAACCTACGAAAGAGTACAAGCGGATATCGACCTTCAACGTGTGGCAACTGCAAATGCCGGCAAACCCCAACATCTCGACTGCACCAGAGGCAATGATTGGCGTCGGGCGGAAGAACATCAGCTATAGCCAGCGCAACCTCCGGCTGTCAACTCTGTCGGACGGTGGGCGCGAGTCCGACATCGACCTTGCCGAGATACTCAAGCAGCGAAGGGACATTCTGCTCCAGCTCGAACTTGTCAAACAACAGCAGCACAAAGCATCGTCCTCGGCTCCGATCCTGACCGCCAAGGCGGTTGCAAAATCCATCCCCATGTCGACCGCAGCGTCTGCCCCGAAGGCTGTCGCCGCCGCCAAGGCAGTGCCTGCTAGCTCCCCCAACGACGACAGCTGGCTTTGAGTGGTGTCTCATGTGACTTCAATTTATTCGACGTGTGTGTCTTGGTCTATTTTTACCTTGGGTCGCGACCGCATGTCGCGCGTGACGGTGTATGCGAGCCAGGGGTCGTCGGACTCGCGGCACACGGCGCTCGAGATGCACGCGATTCGTATGATAATTGAGCGGGAGGCGTGCTTGGAAGCGCTCCAGCAACTCGCGGACGAGTTCGCGTCGCCGCAAAGCAAGAAGGCGCGGCCGTGGAAGCTCGTCGACAACTTGACGCGGCAATATCGCAAGGCAAGTGTCGCGGCGGTGGAGGCGATTCGCAAGTGGCAGGTTGGGATCGGCGCCTCCGATGCTGCGTTCGTCTGGAAGCAGACCAACTACCTGCGCAAGATGTGCACAGACACAGACTTCTTCGCCACGGTCAGCTCGAGTCACGTGGTCGAATTTGGACAAGTGGATTGTGTCGTAGGCGCGAGAAATGCTGAAGGGCGTTGCAGTGCCGCTGGCAAAGAATCCGCTCCTGGCGCCGATCGCGTTGACGGATCCTCTGCTGCGTGAGAACGAAGCAACTCTCCTCGATGGACTTCGTCGAGCAGAGAAGCCTGTCGATGACAATGGGTCCGGGGTTGTCGACATGGACCGACTGTGTGCTGCGCTGCGAACTCTCTTTGCCGAGCTGCAGCACGTTGATGGAATCGAGCGACCGTCGTCGGCCGCGGCACACGCGCATCCGACGTCAAAGCCAAACGAAGCGAGTGTTGTTGCTCCCGGTGACAGACTCGCCGCGATGGAGCACCATCTCAACCATGCCCGCCAAGTCCTGGCAACCATGGAGACTCGGCGAAAAGAGCTCGTCGATCAGATGCACGTCGTTCAGGAAAAGATGGAGATGGCGACGTTGCCTGCAAAGGCACGGGCGCTGCAGACCAAACACGCTGCATTGAACAACGAGCTCAAGGCGTTGATGGGGGACAAGTACAAGCGGCGGAACGAGCTCATGCGACAGGAAGCGACGTTCAAGATGCAGCAGGGGAAGAAGCATGTCAAGCCGATAGCGAGTGTGGTCGAGAAGGAGCTCCAGGACGTTGTCGAGGCCGACCGACTGGCGAGGGAGCAACGGCTGGCAATGCTCGTGCCATCCAAGGCGTCTCTCGTGACAATGAACGAGACGGACGTGTTTGAATGGGTCAAAGGACTTGGGCTCGACGCGGCGGCGGAGAAGCTTCGGCGCATGGGCATCGATGGACGATTGCTTGCCGTGAGCACGGATGCCGACTTGCAGGAGCTCGGGATCGACATCCGTCTCCACCGAGTCAAAATCCTTCGCGAGGTCCATGCTGCGCGCGACGCGTCTAGATGACACCTGTCCGAGGCGGGCTAAACCGATTGCGTTTTACTGCAGGACATCACAACGACGACGTAGTTATTTGGTCCAAATCAAAATCTACTTCTCCATTTCCACCATCGTGCTCTGGGTGCGCAGGAGCAGCGGCGTGTCTTCGCCGGCAGACGCCGCCTGCGGCAGCCTCGCTTTCTTTCGCGCGCCCCACCACGACTTGACCATCTTGGTCATGTGGCTCCACGTATACTTGTACTCTTCTTCGCCGACGTGAAACGTCGCGAGCATCGCGGCCATGCCGATGTACACAATCGCAAACTGCTGCGAATACGACGTCGGAAACCATCCAAACGCAGGCGTGATCGCATTCCCGACGATCTCGTAGGCATGAATGACGCCCGTGGCGCTCAGAATGGCGGCAAGGACCATCCAAGCGGCGGCGTAGATGAAATCGCGCTCGAGGATGTGTACCATCGTGGAAGCGAGGACGATCGACGTGAGGAGATATCCCTGGGACAGCGCGATCATGCCATGGGGATTCAGGCCGGCGACCGCGAGGCTGTGGATGGTGGTCGTCACATTCGTCGACGGGGACACAGCGTTGAGCGCGTTTTGGACCAACTGGCATGCCCATGCTGCGAGGGCAGGGACCATGCCAAGCACGACGGCCGTCCCGTGGTTCGAGTCATGGGCCTTTCGCTCAAAGCTGCTGGACGTGATGACCATTCCAATCCACAGGAGGAATCCGACGCCCGACGCGATCGGAATAGCTCCCATCAGCCACGGGACCGCTGTCCGTCTGTGAGATGTGCCATCGACATGCCGACAACGCACCGTTCACGGCGGCCAACAACGCAATGCAGATCGCATTCAGGACCAAGTACCCCACTCGCGCGCCCATGGCTTTATAGATGGGCTACAGCATATCCCTTTATAGCTCGGACGACGATCGGCTCGAACCTTACATGACCAATGTAGAGGCCTGTGGGGAACGGATTGCCAAGGCATGCGCCCACGATCGTCACGATCGAATCTAGTCAAGAGAGAAAGTCCATCCGTCGCAACGTCGTTCGAGGGGTCTTACCGCCCAACACGCACGAGAGCGAGTCGTACTTGTCGCCGACCGCCGCCGCCGTTTCCAGATTCGCGATGGCGCTCATCACGTTGACCAGCACCATGGGCACAATGATGCTCACGTATTTCCACCCGGCACCGCTGGCCATCCCACGTCAGACTCGCGCGTGAAAGAGTCGGCCGTGTACCTCGTTATCGCGCGATACAGCAGAGCCGGGTCAACATGAACGAATTGTACTGTGAACGAGTACGGCTCGGAGAACGGGATGAACTGGTTCGGTCGGTGAGCCGACTTGGTTTGTGCCCCAAACATACCGTCGTGTGCGCGCCACTGTAGTAGAGCCCAAGGGCCAAGCTCGTTCCAAGCAGCAGAGCTCCAAGGCCCGTCGGGATGTGAAGCGGCAATTTGACCCCCGCGCCGTACGACACGAGCTACAACGTCGATCAGGTGATGCCAACAGTGTGAGTCGTACAAACAAGAGGAGGGGGCCGAGAGCCACGAGAGGATTTTCCCAGATTTCAAAAGCAAAGCCCATGCTGAGAAAGGTGAGTGCGACCCCCGACACGGACGCAAGCAAGGCGGCTTTGGGGATGGCCGTTTGCAGGAACTTGAGGAGGGGAAGGAGGAGCATTTGCAGCACGCCCGTCAGCATGGCGGCAAAGAGACCGACTTCGTAAGCTGCAGTGAAGCTCTTCGTGCGCTGGTACTCTGGTTCCATGATCGACAGCGCGTAGGCAAAGACGAGAACGGTGTTGATGCCGTGGGGCATGGCTGTTACGTCGTGCTTGCGATCTTTCTGGCTCAGTCGGATGCCTTGGAAGGCAAAGAAGACGTTCCCGAGCATGGTCGTGGCGACCGCTGCAGGGAGTACCGTTGCTTGGAGATCCGTCACTGGGAGGTGGACCTGCGTTGGCAAGAGGCTGCTGATGATCATGAGCTGGAGAATGGTTTGCACAAACATCCCAGAAAACGCATCCCAGTCCCCGGACGTGATCCACTTGAACGCCGTCATGCCAGTTGTCGTCGCCAGAGTCAACGCCGTCGCGTCTTCTTGAACCAGCGCGACCGAGTGCGCCCACCCACAAGCGACTTGAAACACCACACGATGGTGCAGGATACATGCGAGCTTGCTCTGACTCGTTGAAATCGTTCCGGTGCCGACTTCGCCGTCTGTGCCGCGACCCCACGCAAAGCTCCCGTGCGGGTGCACACTGCACAACGAGTGCCTTCCCCCAGCTGCCATGGCCGTCAACGACACGTCCATCTACGTCATGAGTCAGTCGACCGACTTGAGAGCTGTCTTACTAGCGACCGAACGCGCTGTGGCCGATGAACCACCGGCAGGTCGGCGCCAAACTCGACGTCGCCCAGCTGGCCATGCTCGTTCCAGACCCACGCAAACACGTCGACTGTCATGGCCGAGTGCGGGACGACTGCAAAATTGTGTCGAAACCTACGGCCCCCATGACAACCCACCTAAAAATGCGGGCAACGAACCGTACCCGCACACGATTTGGACAACTTTGTGCCCAATAAAGGACGGGATTTCGGTGGGAAATCTCACCGTGTCCAAATGTCCAAGTCCCAATTGGCCGTACAAGTTCCATCCCCAGCTCAACACGCGAAAGTCGGACGTCAGCGCCAGCGTGTGCCGTGACCCGCATGCGATAGCCTGGAACGACGAGGATGTAGTTGGCACGGCCATGGGCTCCAGCGCCGACTCGACGTTTTGAAGCCCCAGCGCACCGTCGTCGCCGCCGCCCCATGTATATAGCGCGCCTGTACACAGAATGGTTTGGGATCGTGGAATGGCGATTGCTCGCGAACCGTTGTGGCCGAGGGCGACCGAATGCGCTCGACCGCATGCAACATCGACAATGTGGTGTAGCTTCGTGATGCGCTTGGGTAGATGCAGCGTTTCCCGGGAGTTGTGTCCGAGCTGGCCTTCGTCGCCGCGGCCCCATGAAAAGACTGCACCGTCCTCAGAGATGGCGAGGACGTGGGACCCTCGGGTGGCAATGTTGGTGATCGCGATGTCGCTCAATGAGTCAATCAAGCGAGGCTCGAGCTACAATTCCGCGAGATGGGATGGGTGCATGACCAGGCTGGGACATTCTGAACCGACGTGGATACCTGGGCTTGGAGGTGGTGGCCAAGACCAAGTTGGCCGTAGTCGTTCTTTCCCCAAGCAAACACCGATCCCGATGCCGTCAACGCCACTACAATCACCACTGTTGGGTACGTCCATTCGCAACGGAATGCCACTTCACCGCACCGGTGAATCGACTGCCGCACGCGATCTTCGAGATGGACGTCTTCTCGAGCAACGAGAGGACGAGGTGGGGCGCGATGCGGCTCTCGCGATCGTTCGTACCGAGTTGACCGTTGCCTCCCCATCCCCAGCAATAGACAGCGACTGGTTTTGCTCCAATCGCCATTTTCTTGGGACTCATAGAGCCCGTGCGGCGGCGCACCGACGACGCCGACGTACTTGACGCCCGACGCTCCGGCTGCATTCTTGCTGCGCTGCGATTTCCAGGGAAATCTTTGTCGACGTCGACAGAACACGTCATCATGCCAAAACACGCTCGACCAAAACACGCAATTTGCGACATGATGTCAAAGTTCCCTCGACACTCCGGAGCGAGCTCTAGCAGCTTCATTTGCCCAGGTCTCAAGAGGCAGACAGCGAGCCGCTGTCGGTGCTTCACACAGGCCGGCGTGGCTGTCGGTCTCCCATTTATCGACTCCCATTATGCCCCGTAGCCAGCGCGCGCTCGTGCAGCCAGCACTCGACCTTCGCAAGTGTTCGGAACGCGTTTTTTTCAAGTTGGACAGTTGACCACCTCACCAACGCAGCGCGACGCACAAAGAACTGCACAACGCCACATATCCTGTGCCACTTCCTTTATGTGTGCAAGTGCCTGCACGATCGGCGCCCGCGTCGGGATGCGCTCGTCACGTTGGATGGAAGAATAAAAAACGCGTTCCGAACGTTCAGTGTGTCGACAATGCGGCAGCTGGTTTGATGGAAAAAACGACATTGTTCGTCGGGAGGCGATGAGCTCAGAATTGAAATGGCATCGCGGCCGCCGCAACCCCATGGAGCGCAACCACTTGAGGCTTCTCGCGGACTGTCCTTCAGTAATGCGTCTGTAGAGAGCGCCCGCATGTCGGAGCTTGTCCAATGGCTTGGCGAATGCGCCGTTCCCCCACCAACGCATCCGTCGTTGGCGGCACGACTCAGCGATAAACAGTACAACGAGCGGAGGGTCCGCAAGCGTCAGCGTATCCTGATGCTTCTTGTGGCTGTAGTGCTGGTAGCGTTGGCACTCGCCGCTTCAGCGACTGCCATCGCATTGGCGCAGACATCAACCTCAACTCCCCCCGAACAAACCGAGATGCTGCGGAATACGCCTCGACCAACCTCCACAATTCCACTTGTCGTTGACTACATCCAGCGCAATACCGAGGCTCCAGCGCAACCTCCCGAGACACCTGCACCTACAACGAAGCAGCTTCCTAAGGTGACTCCCCGACCGCCCACGACAGTCCATACACCTTCGCCGACACCTGCGCCTGCACTTACTCTTGCAACTACTGACGTCCTCGACACGAATGTGCCCACAATTGCAATGCCTACGGCTATTCCTGCGACGTCACCTGCACTAGTCAATACAACGAATTCTGCTGCACCTATATCAACGACCCCACCACCAACCAAGGAAAGCCCCACCGCGCCCCATGCCACGCCTGCCACTACGACTCCGACGCACGCTGGAGCCACCCCCACGCCAATCCTCTAGAAAGATCATCGCGCACTCAGTTTTCATCTTAACTGTTACTACCACGCATGGAAAGCGATGGACTTGACCTGTCATGAGACCATCATGCATTCTTGGTTGGCATGCAGTCGTGCCCAGTAGCTCGCGCGAAGGATGTGTCCCTGTGTAAAAAATCCTCCCATCCCCACTTCATGGCAGATGTGGACCTACCACCAACGCCAAGGCTTGCGCCATCTATGTCCCTCACACTGTCCGCGCAGTCGACGGCTTGCGATCTCTACTGTAGCTCATCGCGCCGTGGAGATTCGGAAGTGAGGCCTGCCATGTGCTCCGCTGCACGCAGATAGCATGTATGTGCGCGTTCACCCGTGCCTTCTCTCCGACAGTCGCAACAGCCTCTTCGTCAGCACCCGAGCAAACGCACGGCGGCGTGAAGTCTCGATGCAACGATAGAATGGGAAAGCGGTGGTCGACACATGACAGCACATGGAGGATCTCTTCTGCAGTCTCCACTGCTGGGGGACAAGCCACAACCCGGCAGCACGCTGTAGCCGGCGCGCGCAGTGACAAAGCAGTGATGTGTAGAGTACCTGACATCCCGCGAGGATTGCGCCCGGTCACGTGCTGCACGCGACCCATCCAAACTTAGGAATGTTGCTACGTTGTCAGCTCACCCTCAGTGGACAACCCAGAGGAAGGCTTCGTTCGCCCCGTTCGCCCCTGCTCAAGGTCGACCTCTCGCTCCAAAAGGGCCACAGAGTGTCTGGTCGGTGAGGACATGTCCAAGGCATCGGGCCATCCGTCGACTTCCGCGGTTCTCGATTTGGTCGAGTCTTCTCCGGACGTGCCAAACACCAAACTCGACTTGCACGATGCAAACACGGCAATGACCTCAAATTGCAATTATCTTTCGATCATCAACATGGCACCGACCACAAGAAGGCTGTTGAGCAGCAATTTCCTGTCGATTTGGCACCCCCACCACGGAGCGGCCAGTGGATGGTGCCTGCGACGAGCGCCAACGCGAGCTTGACGACGCATGACTTGTTCATGCACAGCGCTCAACGCCGCGGTTTCCCGTGTGTCCACGAACAGTGGGGCGTACAAAGCCATGTTTGGACTGTTGGATGCGACGGCTTTCGTTGTGCGTTTGGCTCTGATCTTAGTCCAGCTCGCTTGGTCGACGGGCTAGGCCATCGTGCTTTGCTGGCCGCAGTGACGAGCTTTTCCGAGGCGACAAGTCATTTCAACGATCGATTTTTTTGCACGACATCCTTTGCAACCCGTGCGAACATTAGAAGTGTCACATCCCCGATGATTCACATGCATGCCCAAGTCCAAGGCGAGCGACACTTTGCCACGTTACCAAATCCAATCGACCCAAAAACACAATCCCATCAAAACAGGTACCGGCTTGAAGGCGACAGTAGTCACTGACCCATTGGATCGTCCATCGTGTCAAAGTTTGTTGGGCACTACGAACGTCGATGTGCCTCATTCTTGCACAATCTATTCGACGTGCCGTCGACTCGCATGAGTTACTGGATGGATGGCCTGGTTTAGCCGCCCTCTTCGGCCGGGTTTCGTTGCTGGGCCATGCACTGCCACTACCAAGCTTCCTCCACGAGCCCTCTTTCGTGCAGGTGCAAAGTGCATCGTCTGAGCCAATTACGTCCACCCCGACAACTTCAACATGCCCTAGGAGGCGGGACAGAATGGTATTTGACTGGAATCATCCTCCCCCAGTGATGAGTACATCTCGCTTTGACTGGGCCGACAAGCTTAGACCGCCACCGTCAACATCATCTGTAGGTTTGATAACTTAGTTGGTGGGTCTGCATGACGACCGCATGTGATATGGCTGTCGACACTTGAAGCACCACACAGCGCCGCAGCCACCGCAGGCCATCCGGCGCCGTGACATGCCAGACTGCTTGAGTCGGCCATTGCACGACGGACAGCTCGTGAGGGTGTCGAGGGCCTTGAATCGCTCCATTTTGGAAAGAAGAGGCGGCGGTAGGTGGGTGTTTAACACGCTCGCATCGATCTCTTGGTAGCATCGCACACACACAAAGGAGACCTGGTCGTTGTTAATGCACTCGGCGGCGTGCGAGACAAAGCACGGCGTGCAGGTGAAGTATCGGCACTTGGCACAATGGATCGTGCTGTCGGTGAGTTTGGCGCAATCCATGCATTTCACAGTCGGCGACTTGCATGGACGTGGTTCCTTTGGACGCTGGTGTGATGAAACAGTGTCGTGCGACGAAGTGCTGGAATCACGATCGTTGTGCCGGGCAAACGACACATCCGGCGTGACCTGCAGGATACGCCACAGCACTACAAGCGTCAGCGATGGGAGTTGCAGAGCCAATTGCACGAGCCATGCCATGAATTGAAGGCTGGCGCGAACGGGATGCGCCATGTCGATGGACGACAACTGCGGTGGCAATGGCCTCTCGGTAAAGAAGACTGAGGAGCGAACGATGGTCAAGGCTGCAGAGAGCGCTCGGACAGCGTACACAAGGATGACGCGGCAGTAATACCCCACGTACACCACAAGACCGAGACCAACAACCGTCGCCGCCACCGCCAATTCGATCATCGGCAACATTCGTTGTCTGGTGAAATGACCGACACTCTGCTTCAAAACTGCACGATTGAGCCGTTAGACGACCTACATTCCGCCCTGCTCGCGTATCATTGTGGTGGGTTTGCGCGGGCGAGGGCAGGTCATGCGAGGATGGGCTGCGAAGAGCTCTGCATGGCATATCCCCGCGCTCTCTCACGTACAACCAACGCGGTCTGCCGGCGTTGTAGCTCTCAAGCAAGCTACCACAGGCCGATGGTACTGCAACCGGTCCCTCGTCACGTCGAAGGAGTGGTCATCTCGTATCTGACTAATGCGTCCGGCGACATGAATTGAACGAGGGTTGGTTGCGGCACAGGTGCAGTGCACTGCGGGCACAGGATGGGTTTGACTTTGGATTCCAGGCATTGCGCCACGAAAGACGCCATGCACGGATCACAGGTGGCTTGGCCGCATTGAGTGCAAGTCGTTGTCGTCGACGGTTGGGCAGAGCACTTTGCACACGCAACTGGCGCAGAGACCGCGACTGGCTCACGTGCTTGTATTGGACTCGAAGTCCGCTGGAAGCAGGTCGATACACCATGTCCAACGTACAGCAGTGGCCACACAGACAAGTAGACGGTCATTGCTGGCACAAACACGAAAAAGCCAGCGATGAACAGGCACATGCTCGCGCACGACACACGATCGGGGTTTGCGGAAGGAATTGGCGGTGTTGCTGGAGGACTTTGGTGCTGCGGTGGCCGCACCACCCAGTAGCTGGCACGTCGGATAGTCCTTGCCCAGGACTTGGCGGCGTGAGAGGCCACGATGGCCAGCCAGATGTACACGCCCAGCAGACAGACGACCCATGCTCCCCCTGAAGCAATGACGGCAATACCTGACGGAGTGAGGGCCATAGTTGGTCTATGCGGGCTGGTTGAATCGGTTACCCCCGCCGGTTTCAGATCCAGCGAACTCCATGAGGAACCTACAATCTTGACAAGCGTAAGAGGGGGCTCCAACTGTGAAATAGGAGGGAGCCGTCCCTGTGGACGCTGTCAGCGCTTGTGAGCTAGAGTGGCGGTGCCACCACACCACTACCCTGTTCCGATGGCGCCCAACTACCAAGAGTGGTCCTCGAGAATTGTCGAGCCTGGTAGAGGCAATGTTAGCGAGTGTACAAGTCACCGAGCTCATTGGGAGTCGATACACTCGAAGCAATGCCGCGACCGTACATCCATCGAGCGCATCGAGTCCTACAGGACCTGCTCGGTTCCACTCGTATTGCACGCAGCATATTGGACGGCTCGGTTTGTGAAAAGACGCATGTGTCATCGACCATCTCCCTCACGCAGCGCACCCGAGGAAGGATCGCAGTCGCCTTCCAGATGATGTTAACGTAGCGAGCGACGAGGGACGGCGCGTACGGCTGGGGGCGGCATGCCAGCAGCATGTCGATCCTGCCCACGTTCTTGGTGGGCTTCGATACAAACGAGGTCTTGGCGCCAAACGAGTCCATGATCCTGTAACAGGATCCACCGACGAGGACTGCCAGCGACGTCTTGGTTGTTGGCCGGCGTGATAGCGCTCCACATGGCGGTCAATCCAGAGGAGTTGGGCTGTACATGCCGAGCTCCTTTGAACAGACCTTGACAGAATCGCTTGTACTTGACGTCGACGGCGACGACAAGGGCACGAGTGCAGCAAGCAGTAGGACGTAGCGGGTTCCAAACATTGCGATGTGCTGGAGTGACGAATTTGTTGCATGGGGAACGGATGGACATGGAGCATGCGACGTGGAGCACGTTAAACTGGGGTGCGATTGTGTTGTGAGGCAGAGGGGAGGGTCATAGAGCCCCGACATGGTCTTGAATGAGCCAGCAGCTGACCAACAGCTTGCCAACAGCCTCCCCAACCAGCCTCTAGATGCTCCATTCGCCGCTGATAACCCAATGGATCCCGATGCCGGGGACATGTCTCCTTTTCCTTGAAAAACTAGATCACTCACACTCAATACTTCCCCCTCACGTTAGCATGACCTGTCCCTGTGTGGTTCCCATCCACTCAATTGTTGGCAATTGTTCGATGGCGCCACCTTTCAAAGCCCTTTCATCCATCGAAACTACACCCAGCAGCCCCCCGCTGTTGAACGGCTAGCCGACTCTGTTCCTTGCGACCACGTCAGTGCAACCTGTTGGAGACCTGGCAGTGCCATCTTCGGGATGGCGTGCAAAGGGACAGCGCGATGCGATAAAATTGTACGCCCCTTCACAGCCCGTCGTATCGTCAACGGAGCAGTTCTCGCGAGTTCTGGCCTCTCCCCGTGCAGCAGCTCATGTGGCGACGAGGCCGCGAGCGAAAAGATTTTGCCATGACCATTGCGTCCTGCGGGTTCGTGTTTTGGCTGTCCATTATGTGCTGGTGAAGGGAGTGTCGGTGGCGGTTTGGGACACCTTGTTCCAGTGGACTTTCGGATGGCACAGAGCATGATGGAGCACAGTGAACGGTTCCTGTTGCTGGTGCACAATCACCAACCCAACGTCGATGCAGCCAAAGGACGTTTCGTACCCCAGCGGCGCGCAGAACAAATAATTCGTCTCGAAGTCGTCGCTCTCGTGCAGCTCAACGACTTCCTTCTACCGCGAACTCGACTCACGGAACTGCTTGGCTCCATCAAGAGAACCAGCCACGGGACGGTGGGGTGCACTTGTGGCGAGCACTCCATTTGTCCATGCAACTCCAGCAAAACTCAACCTTGCACTGGGTGCACGTCATATGGTTACACCCCTCGTTCTTCTCGATGAACCGTTTGCAATTCGGACATGGCTTGATGTGGTGCTTGGCGCGCCACTGTCGAAACGACCTGTCCGAACAACCTTTCGTGGCAAAGTAGTGGTACGTCTGTCCGCAGTCGATGCACCAAGCGGATCTGCACTCGGTGCAAGTCAACCGCCGATTATTCGAGTACTTGCTGCCGAAGCATTCACGGCACTGGCACTTGGGGCACTTGAACGAGCGCTCGGTTTGCTCGAGCTCGTGGAGTTTGCCAGCCAAGTATGGACTTAAAAATCGCGTCAGGATGCCGGCGCTGAGTGCAGCTCCACACGATGGGCAAGGCAGATGAGCCTGACGATCTTGGAGAATTTTGATGCGGAAGTACTTTTCAATGCACGGTCCACAGCACTGGATGGAACACTGGTCGCACGTTGCGCAGCCAGCGGTCTCGACCGCATCCAAGCAAACAACGCATTGGACTGGCGGTGGAGCTGAAGGGGTGCTACATGGTGGCGAAAGTCGCGGCGGCTGGTTGGTTCGTCGGCGAGCATTGTGGTTAGCCAGGTCGTGGATGGCTTGTATGCCTTGCATGAGGCCACCGATACAGGCTAGAACCCCAATCGTGACTGTGACGAGGCCCGAATAGTTAGGAGTCGCTTTTGGCGGCGTGTTGGGTGGATTCGTCGAGCCAGGTCTTGCGTTGGGTGAGTTGATCGATTTTGTGGTCGGCTCACTTGCTGCGGCTTTCGACGGCCGCGAGAACATGGCTTTCAAGGTTGTGAATACCCAGGCAATCCACACCATGACCGCCACGGCCAAAAGCGCAGCGACGAGAATGGCCGACCCCAACACAGCGAGAAGTGTTCTTGGCTGCAGCATGTGCATCAGCGCCAGGACGACGCCAACGGCCACGATGGATCCTGGCGCCAAACCCATCGTCGCTGTTTGGCATACACTTCTGCAACACGATCTAAATTGGGACAGTATAATCTTGGCGACGAATTGCCGTCATGCAAACCAGCTCTTGCACGTGTGGCGAGCCCTCCATTTATCCATGCAACTCCAGCAAAATTCAAACCTGCACTGGGTGCACGTCATGTGGTTGCACCCACCGTTCTTCTCAATGAAGCGCTTGCATCGTGGACAAGATTTCACGCTGTTCTTGGCGCGCCACTTTCGAAACGTGCTGTCAGAACAACGTGTCGTGGCAAAGTAGTGGTACGTCTGACTGCAGTCGATGCACCACGAGGATGTGCACTGGATGCACGTCAACCGCCGCTGCGAGTACCACGTGCTGGTGAATTCTTGTTCCTTGCACTTGGGGCACTTGAACGAGTTCTGCTCGAGTTCGCGTACACTGGCAGCCATGGACGGGCTTAGGAATCGCTCGAGGATTTCAGCACGGAGGGCAGCTCCACACGATGGACAAGGCAGGTGAGCCGTTCGGTCTTGGGAGATTTTCATGCTGAGGTACGTTTCCAGGCACGGACCACAGCACTGCATGGGACACCGATCGCATGTCGCGCAGCCAGCAGCCTCGACTACATCCAAGCAAACAACGCATTCAACTGGTGGCGGAGGAGCGTCACAGGTTGGTAGTTGCTGTTGCGCCTCTTTCGGTTGACGCGGCATTCGAAACGAGCTCGCCTTGCATCCGTTCGTGGCAAAGTAATGAAACGACTGGCTGCACTTGATGCACCATGAGAACGTGCACTGGGTGCAGGTCAAGCGCCGCCTCGAATATACGTTAGGAGTGCATTTACACCCCCGACACTTGGGGCACTTGCCTTGGGTCTTTTCTAGCTCGCGCAACTTGCCAGTCAAGTACGGGCTTAAGAAGCGCTGGAGCGTTCCATCACTCAGTGCAACTGGACACGACGGGCATGGCAAGTGGGCCTGGCGATCGTGGGTGATTTTGGTGCGAAGGTACGTTTCAATGCACGGGCCGCAGCACGTCATGGAACAATGGTCGCAGGTCGCGTTGCCAGCAGCCGACTCGACCTGCTTCAAGCAAACAATGCATTGGACTGGTGGTGCTTCACGTGCTGCACGCAGTGCATCACGCGCGGCACGCAATGGCAGGCAGAATGCGCTTGCGATCTCGTGTAAAAAGTTCAAAAGTCCGCAGATAATCCACAACACGAGCCCCCCGAGAAGAACGCCGGCGATGGTGGCACTGCACACAACGGCGAGAACTGTCCACGGCGACGGCTGCAGGATGTACACAACCAAGAGAACAACGGCAGCAATCACGCCGAGGCGCAGTGCATCCCCTGTCGCCATGGCCGTCGTCCCTCGAAGTGCCTCAATGCAGCAAGCGACGGCGACATCCTCCGTGCGCCCGACACTCGCGACCAGGAATCGATTACCAACACTCCGATCCTTGAAAGTGGTATACTCGTTTTTGATTGGTTGGACTGCATATGGAGGCATCGGATTGGTCAACTTTGGCTCCATACTTTTTGTGGAGATTTTTTCAACGTCCAAGCGGTCAAGAGCGGCGGTCGCGATGGACGCGGTGTCCTTCTTCCTTGCGACGCAGTGCCGTCGTTCAGCTGGAATCGCTTGTCCGTCGCTGTTGGTTCTCTGTATATTAGACGTTTCTCCATCGAAGAGTCTTGGGGTCCGCTCTGTGCACATCACTTCAACATAGCCCTCGCAACGCCGTCGTCTGGCTCCGTCAAGTCGCCGCCACGCCGCCAGATCGTCGCTTCGATCTGCGCATGTCCTGCACGCACAGGTCATTACGTCCCACAGATTCCGACGATTCGATCGACCAGTCGCGTGGGCAGTACGACGTAATGCCTGCTGCGCGGCAGGTCTGTCCCCGCGTACAGGACGATCCTGTGCCGCCTTTCGCTCGGCGTGAAATTTGCTACACGCAGGACGAGGCAACCGCAGCGTTATGGATCCAGCACACAACGGGCATGTTGTACATCATCATTGCAAAAAATGCTGTGCTTGCACATGTTGAGAGCCGTCCATGCACAATTCAAACGGACTCTATTTCGATCGGACCTACACTTGGGACGGCGTCTTGACGTGCAGAAAGTCGTCTCCGTTGAGTCCATCGGTGGTCGAGTTCGTGCCGTCGCCATCGTGGTCGTATGCCGGCCCCCCATGCTCATACGCGTCCAGCCCCATTTTCTCTGCTTCGGCCGACACGCGGAGCGCGCCAAATTGGCGCACGGCGATGAAGACGGCGGCGACAGTCGCCGCCACAAACGCAAAGATCGCCAACGCGTACACGAGTTGGGCGCCCAGCTGCTTGCCGCCGGCGCTGCACCCGTAAAAGACGCCGCACGAGTCGGACCCGTAAAACATCTTGACGCCGGTTGGAGAGGCGACAAATCCCGGCGCAATCTTGCCAAGCAGCCCACATCCAAAGTGGACCGGGACAGCGTCCACCGCGTCGTCGATCTCGAGCTTGGCGACCAGCTTGGCCACACTGACGTACACAACCGACCCGATAGCCCCGAGCGCGATCGCGACGGCCGGCTCGATGACTGGACAGCATCCCGTGACCGCCACGCAGCCCGCGAGAACGCCGTTGTTGCCGGCTTCAATGTCCCAAACCTTGTGGCTCCAGTACGTGAGCAGCACGGTCACAATGCCGCCAGTGCTCGCAGACAACGTGAGGTTCACGGCGACTTTGGCCATCGCGTCCGCCTTAGTGCCTTCCAAGCTGAGAGTGCTGACACAGTTGAACCCGTACCAGCCAAACCAGAGCAGCATCACCCCCATGAACTGGAAAAGCACCGATTGCTTGGGAAGAGGGACAGCGTTCGGGCCGAAGCGGCCAAGGCGGGGGCCGACGAGAATGCATCCGACCAAGGCCGAAATCCCGGCAAACATGTGAAGGGCGCCCGTGCCGGCAAAGTCCATGGCACCTACTTGGAAGAGTGGGTTGTGCGCGTTGAAGGCGCTGGCCCACCCAGTTTCCGACCAGATCCAGTGGGCGCAAACGGGGAAGATAAACAAACTCGCGACGAACGTGTAGCAGAAGTAAGCAGCCAAGGACACGCGTTCGGCGATCGCGCCCGAGCAAATGTTGACGGCGACGGACGCTACGGCCCATTGGAAGAACCAGTCGGCGTAGTGGTGGCCGCGGAAGAGCTTGTCGTCGGTGGCCTGGATGAAATCCTCCCCAGACATGAAGAAGCCCGCGCTCCCAATGAACCCGTTGCCGCCCATGAAGGCAAACCCGTAGCCGAGGGTGTAGTACGTCAAGCCCGTGATGCAGCAGTCGCCGAGAATACGAAACATAATGTGCTTGGTGTTCTTCGTCCCGACGCATCCGATCTCGAGTAGAGCGAGGCCGAGCATCATCATGAAAACGAGGATGCCGCCAAAGACGAGCCAAAAGAGATCCACCGAGTCGGTGGGCGCCGAGTGGGCCGTGACCTGCGCGACGAGGTCGCCCCACGCGATCTCAGTGACCTGGCCGTCGACCGTGATCGACACAAGCGCGGACGAGTTGATCGGCATCGCTCCAGTTGAAAAATGCGCTGGTGGGTGGATGCGGGCGAGTTGCTCCTGCATGCAACTCACACCCGCGACGGTTCAACGTGACCCGTTCAAGTGACTCGAATTTGCCCGGATCTTGTCCATTGCAGCGTTTTGATTCGCCACCCATCCATTTGACACACAGTGTCCTCAGTCACTTGAACGGTCCATGCGACGGAGCCGCCGTGCATTCGACCAACACGGCGCGCGATCGTCGGCGCGATGGCCACTTGAAGTTGAGCGCGCGGAAGGACCGAGGGCGATGAGACCGAGTCGGATCGCCGCATGGCGCTGGCCACACTACGTCCGTGAGATATATCGAGCCGTGTCGAAGACGTGACCGGTGGTGGCGTACACGTGTGTCACCCACTGGAGTGGCACTCGTTGTTCAATCAGCGACTCGTTTCCCGACCAACGAGTTGCATCCGACGATTCGTGTTGGCCAATCGAGAGGCGGCGGTTGTGGTCGATGGCGGCGCCGTCCGCGCGGAGGAGGTTGAGAAGGACGAGCACCGTCCTGGAGCTCCTTGCTCTACATGGTGGTGGTGGTCAGGACGGTCCTGGCGCAGTCCAGGACGAAAGCGAGCGGGTGGGCGGTCCATGAGGCACGGCGCCCACTGGTCACATGTTCCGATGTGTACCATGCCCGAAGCAACGAGATCCGCCGCCGTGATAGAAATGCTGCAACGTTCCAGTCCACCAACGACGGGATGGTGAAAAGAGTGTGTGGAAGGAGCAGGGGATGCCGCGTTGGACGTGCTTGGGCTGCAGGGATGCATGCGATCGACAAGTCGCCACAGTGGCGCATGTCAGGTGGCAAGCTCGAAACATGGATGCTCCATCGAACGCGTCAAGATTCGTCCTGGGTGATTCAACTTGCATTTGGGCCAGAGCACCACGGCCTACTACTGCTACCCTTCTCGAAAGAACCAACGACTCCACACGCATGTCATGTTTCCACGGCTGTCCACGGTCTCGGTGCCGACCGCGCCGGCGAATCGAGGCTACAACGTCGGGGTCGACACCACCTGATGGTTGCGCCATGCGCGGCGTCGCTGCGTTGTGGGTACTGGGACTGGGCAGTTGGCCACGATATCGTTCATCATGCCCTTCATCACGACCTTGCTAGCAAACAATGCACGTAAGATCGCATTTCGAACATATTGTGTCACAGGCCCATCCAATGCGGCCACTTTCCCCATCGCCCACGACAGGTTGACCAATTTCTTTGTGCGAGCAAACCGCAGTTGGCAGTACGCGTCAAACGCGGCGGTGGGGTCGCCCTGGAGAGGGCGCCCCAGGAGCTGGGCAAGCACGACGCCATCTTCAATCGCCAAATTCGCCCCTTGACCCGTGAACGGCAACGTTGCATGGCATGCATCCCCAAGTAACACGATGCGATGGCTGTGCCATGTCGCATTGGGTTTGCAGTAGCTCAGGCCAAAGTGGAGGAGCCGGTCCCGCGGGGTTTCCGCCAGGACGCCGTGCAACGGATGGCTCGAGCAAAGCGTTGTCGCAAATGCTTGGATCGCATCGTCGCAGTCGTCGGCACCCGTCCACTCCTTCGACCGTGAGGGTGGGGCTGCTCTGGCCTTGTACACTTGGCCCCAAACGAAGTGGGACGGGCCGGCAGGGTATTGCACGTACACTCCGCGGTCGTAGTGCTGTTGAAATGTTCCGGGCGACCCCGTGGGGGGAATGTGGTCCAGCACCCCATAAAACACATTCGCCCCACAGTACACGGGAGCATCCCTCGATGGATCGACTGCAGCGGCCACGGTGGAGTGGATGCCGTCAGCTCCAATGACTACATCTGCGGACACGATCGCGCCATCTTCCAGCATGACTTGAGCCTCCGACGGTGTTTCGTGGACTGACACGACTTTGCTGTTGTAGTGGATCACTCCGTCATCCAGCGACTCGGCCAGCACGCGGATCAAGTCTGCGCGAAGGACGCCACCAAGGCCAAAGCCCGTTCGGTCGTGGAGCTGCTCGAAGACGTTGTCTTCGTGGAGTGTCATGTTTCCCGCACCGGTTACTCTATAGCGACGGAAGGGGTGCAAGATCGGGTCGAGCTGAGGCGCTAACCCGAGGAATTCAAGGCAGATCTGGCCGTTGGCCGAACATCCGATCGCTGCGCCTGTTGTCGGATGAAACGAGGCAGCCTTTTCCAGCAACGTGACATGGATTCCACGAAGGCGCAAAGCTCGCGCCGCTGTGAGTCCTCCAATGCCTCCCCCCACGATGATTGCCCGGTCCAGCATCGACATGGACAAGGCGATTCTGTTTGTGCGACAACGGCTCACGCTGTCGGTTGTTGTTCTGTTTCGAGTTAGTCGTTGCTCAAGCAATTTTACCACGTTACGGCGACAATGTGAGGTCGCCACATACATCCTTGGAATGGGGGTTGGTTGGTCGTGACTCGAATGCAGCTAACATTCCCGTTATTGTCGCATGAGACAGCGGCGCTCAACTGGCAGTCTTGTTCGTTTTCTTGGGCAGAGGGACGGGGCAGTTGTCTGTGATCTCGGCGATCGCGCCCTTGAGTGCGAGTCCAGTGGCAAATATTGCTTTCAGCACAGCGTGCCGAACGTGCTTCGAGATCGGGCCATCCATGTGCGCCAACTTGCCCATGTACCACGCCATGTCGACAATGCGCTTCGTGCGGGTGAACCGCGCTTTGTAGAATGCTTGAAATGCCACACTCGGGTGGTCGTTGCGGTGCTCATCCAGCAGTCGGGCCAGCACGACACCGTCCTCGATCGCCAGGTTCGCGCCTTGGCCAGCATACGGCAGGGTCGCATGGCACGCATCCCCGAGCAAGACGACCCGGTTGTTGTGCCACTTGGACTTGGGTTTGCGAAAGTAGAGTCCGAAATGCAGGATGCGGTTGGCGGGGGTCGTCGCGAGGGTGGTGTGCAAGGGGTGGTCGGAGCGCAGCTTGGATGCAAATGCTTGGATCGCTCCCTCGCACGTACCAGTCCATTCTTTCGAGCGCATGGGCGGAGCGTCTGCTTTGTACGCTTGCGCCCAGATGAAACTCGATTCGCCGGCAGGGTATTGAATGTATTCCCCGACGTCGTAGTGCTGCAGGAGCGTGCCGGCTGCCGCGTTGGCCGGAACATGGTCGAGAACACCATAAAAGACATTGTGGCCGCAATAGACTGGGGTATCACGTGTTGTATCAACAGCAGTGGCCACGGTCGAGTTGATGCCGTCTGCGCCGACGAGGATGTCTGCATCCAATGTCGCCCCATCAGCCAACGTGACACGAACGTCGGATGGCGTTTGGTGGATCGACACAACCTTGCTGTTGTACTGAATCACGCCATCCCCGAGCGAGTCGGCCAGCACGCGGACCAAGTCGGCGCGCAGAGTCCCCGAGATGCTAAAACCTGTTTCGTCCAAGAGGCGCTCAAAGTAATTGTCTTCGAAGAGCGTGTCGTTAGGCACGGTCACGTGGTACTTGCGGAAGGGGTGTAGAATCGGCCGAAGGGCGTCGCCGAGCCCGAGGGATTCAAGGCAGATTTGACCATTCGACGACAACCCAAAGGCTGCGCCTGTCGTTGGAAGAAACGCCGGGGCCTTTTCCAGCAACGTAACTTGGATTCCTCGCTGGCGCAAGGCCCGCGCCACGGTGAGGCCCCCGATGCCCCCGCCCACGACGATTGCGCGCTGAAGCATTCCCTTTTGGCGATGGTGTCGTTGCAAGGCGTATTCGAATATGCTTGGCTTGGTCGGCAAAGACATTCGTTGCCCTGTCGTGGCTGTTGTTACTCGTGTTGATGGCTCCAAGAGTTGCCATCATCAAACTGAAGCGATTGGCCATATATTCTGTCACTTCATTTTGAACTTTTGACCGCTTCCCATACCTGACAAATAAGTGAATCTGCCATCGTAGTCGTGAGATTGTCAGTATATTTCGACTTCTTCTGTAACTCATTTGTATCACAACATGAGCATCTGGAGTCCTTGGCGCAGCGTTTCATATTACTACGTCTAGTTTTCTCGAGACATACAATATATTTCGAGCGAAAACGGAAAGATCCGCTCAAAGGAGTTCGTGCCCTCTTAGTGATCAATTCCCAACCTCAACGTAAGCCACCAGCGGAGCACACACCGATGACGTGATTTCAATAATATCTTGACATGATCCATGGCTCCTCACACGTGCTACGTGTCGTTGTCAACCGCTTGCATTGCTACACAATACGCCTATAGTACTTCTACGACAGAGTTGTAGACATGGATCACATGGAAGTTGGAGCTGTATGCAGCGATCGAACTTTTACATTCTAGCGTACTTAATCAGAATTATTTCATCGACTACAACAGATTTGTTCGGAATGTAACGTTATCGCCGAAAATGCAGAAAGGACAGAATTTAAATATCATCGAAGTTCGAAACATACGAATAGTGTTATGTAAATAAACCATTACTTCCTCTGTACCACATTACAGTACCGTAGTTCTTTTGTTAAAGTGGTGGCAATAAAGATATGACAACTTGATTATTTGATAGCTACACTACTTCGTGCGTAAAACAATGATTATCCTGCACTTCTTAGGCCTCTGGTGTGCCCCTAAACGCCATGCAGTTTGTGCCGAGTGTTCACTGTATGATTTGCTGTGTCATTATACAATTAGTTAGAATCAGGTCGAGAAATAATGATATGACATGAAAAAAGAAACACATATTTTAATGCAATTAATACGAAATCTTGCGACCTTTTGTAGCAAGTACTTCAGCACAGCGTTTAGGCATTGACGCGACGAGCTTTTGAAGCCAATTTCATCCCAAACTTGAAGAATACACGCCTTCAACTCTTGGCGGGACTTGAACTTGCGTCGGCCGTTATCGTAAACGCGCCGGGACATGATTCCCCATAAATTTTCGATTGGGTTCAAGTCGGGTGACTTGGCCGGCCACTTGAGGGCTGTAATAACGACTTGTGGCTCTTCAAACCACCCCGCAACAGACTTGGCAGTGTGGATTGACGCATTGTCCTGTTGAAACACCCAGTCACTGCCATGCTTATGGGAGTAAAATTTCAGATAACGAATAAAAACACGCTTCTGAATCTTGTCTCCCTTCCAAAAAGACCAACTTTGACTTGCCTTGGCTCGAAAACGCCCCCCAGACCATCACTGACCCGCCGCCGTTTTGACGCTTGGAATAGTGCTCCCTTGGTCGGTCCATGGCTGCCCAGTAATAGTTAAAACCATCTGGACCATCAAGGTTCCATTTCTTTCCATCTGACCAAACTATTTGGTAAAACCGATCAACCCAATGTTGCGCCTCAGTCGCCCATTCAACACGATTTCTCATGTGTAGTGGCGTCATCATTGGCGCTGCGAGTTTCTTCTTGTACTTTACCTGACCGCTCTTGTTGAGCAGCTGACAGACTCGTCGTCC